CGTTTTCCTATCTTTGAGTTTCTATATTATATTACCTAATACAGTAATAGCTGACAACTATAAAAGTGCAATTTAAAAAAATAAAATAATTATTTAAATTGGTGTTTCATATACGTATATTAGACTATTAGAGTCGTAAATTTGTAATCATACACGTATTATACTGGTCGTATACACACAAACACAATTGACTTATAGGTACCTATACGAGTAACAAACTACGCCCTGATGGCCTAATCGGACATTGTCGAATCTGAATAATAATAATGAAATTATGTTTCACAGTACAACCAAAGTGAGGCCACGGGGATCCCCTCGGGAAATTTTCTCGTGCTTCCTTCCACTGAACACAAGCTATATACCTATACGTAGCAGTTGCGCCACCGTATAATTAGTTAATGGAATTGTTGATGCAATGAACTCTCATCATCCTAGGAATTGTGATGATGGTCTGAGGCCGACCCCGAAGGCAGTTGAGCGTAGACGGTACCTACTATACCAACATGTATATAACAAAATAGAATATACCAGTTTAATATGTATAGGTACAGTACTACAGTAGTATAATACTCGCTATACATAATATATTATGGTTGTTATGTGTTTTCGAAAAAAAAATAATTAAAATATAATATAGTCCTATAAATTAATATTGTTTTCATGGGTACAAAAATAAATAAAACGGCTAACATATTAGTTATTACACAGGTCTTCGTAGCGATTATCTTATTAAAAACAATATCGTATATCGTCGCCATCATGCCAAAACTGGCCAAGTGTTAAAAGTGACCAAGTGAAATAACATGTTTAAATGTCTTATTTTGTCCCTATTAATATACKAAAAAAGTGACCAAGTGATATAATAAATAGTTTGGGAGCCACTTAACACATCATTTTGACTAACTCGACATTTAGCATTATTTGAATAAGTTAAAACTGACTAAGTTACTTGGTCATTTTTTTTGCGGGTTTTAATAATAACATTTTTGTCCAAGTGTCGAGTTGATCACTTTTTGTAAAACAATAAACCTATAATTACCTATGTGGCCACACTGCTACACTATYAACAGAGCACTCTCTACTCCTTTATTTGAAAGTATACGTGTAAGTGGAAGAGGAAGACCAA